GTCCTTTGAGTGTGTTGGAGAGGAAAATGGAAGGAATCTCTTCACCGCATTCTTTACATGTACAATTTCACACTCTCAGCTGCTCTGCGTGAAACCCAGCTGGAGCCAGAGCTGAGATTGTTCTTCATTCAATCTCTAGCTGCACTTCAAGCTTTCTTCCCACCACTGCTCTCCTCCTCCTAGGCCCTGACCCAAACACTGACCCAGAGGTTCTCAGCTTGACGAATCTCATGTCAACAGCCAAATCAGAGTGGGATAGCAATTAAAGTAAACAGCAGCCTGATGGTTCTTGGTATCCAGAGATGAGCCCTATAAGTATTTCCTGTTGCAGTGAACGCAGTTGTCGCAGCCCTGAGCCATAGCAAGGATGTATCTAGGGACTCTCTGAGGTCTCCAGCGTTGAACGTTGAGTTATGGTCACACCCTAGACTGGTGCGTGGATGTTTGTGTCTTTGTGCGCGCACAGGAGTACGTAGCTTTTTTTAAACCAGGATGCACAACAGCAGTGCCTGTTCTGGCCCCGCGGTCGCTGGCCACTGACCCTCATCCAGATTGTCCCCGTTCGCAGAACGTGCCTTGTCTTGGGCTGGCATCCAGATGTGCTGGTTGCTTCCCGTGAGTTCAGTGTGACAAATGCCATTAAAACAGCCAAAAAGCAGCGGTGCCCAGAGACCCCACGCAGCTGACCTGAGCCCTGGGTGCTGCCAGAAGGGTGGGGAGAACCGCTGCGTGTTTGCTGTGAGCGTGCCCTGCAGGGCTCTGCCGCCCTGGTCCCAGCTTGTGTTTTGTGAGTGGATCTCCTCCCTTCCCTGCCCAAAGCCACGCGGACGGCAGCAGTCTGTTCCCTTCAGACTCCGATTCTCAGCACTCCACCATACATCAAATGATGCTTTTCAGTTATTAAATTCTGGTTTGTTCTTTCTTTTTCTTTTTTTTTTCGTGAAGATGAATGTAAAGGACTAGCAGAAACAAAAATGCCACTTTCCCCAATGATTAGCCTTGGTTTGAATTAATTTTCTTGTTCTGTTTCCATGACAACTCAGTGTTTGCATCCCACCTGCCGTTGTTTGTTGCTGTTGATGCTGTTTGCTGACCGGATCTTGTCCGGCATATGTCTCCCCATCCCTCCTCACCTCTTCCCACCTTGCCTCCCCTCTCCAGAAGGTTACATATCAGCCCCTCCTCAAAAAGGAATCATCCCCACCCCAGATCTGTCTGCATGTTGTCCCCACTTGTTTCTTTTCAAGTTCTCTCCATCTTGTCTCAGATTGTGACCGGTGTGGTCTTCACGTGGCTCCATTTTCTGAAATACAGTACCTCCTGAAGCAGACAGCGGAAAGAAGGATGGAGTAGGCAACAGGGACGTACCCTCATGTCTAGGGCTAGAAGTCTTCCCGAACGGTGTGCCAGGAGGGAGAAAGGAGCATGTTCCCCTCTCTCTTTAGCCAGTACTGCTGCCCGAGGTTGTGCGAATACCGCGGTGCTCTCCTTATGCCCTTTTCTAAGCAGAAGGTCATCTTCTAGTGTTAGTGTCCAGGTGAGTTCGCAGTCTTCCCCTCCGTGCTCCAGTCCTTTCCCCGACTGCGTTGGAGGTGAGGGCATGCTGTCCGTTCTCTTTGCAAATCCCTGCATGCAGGAATTCCCCTTTGACATCTCTGAGCTCCTAATGCCGCAAATCTGGAAGTCTTCTCTTCCTTGCCTCTCGGCGCTGATTCCTGGGCACTGGTAACTGTGCAGGAAAGGATCTGCTGGCACGGTGGGAAGATCACACCTTTCTATGAAGACATCTCCGTGTCAGCTTGCAGGAGGAGGCCGGGGCTGTATTTGGCTTTCGTTAACAAAGCCCCACTCGATGGAAAACAGCCACTCCCTCTCCTGGCAGCGCGCTTCCCAACTGAACAGATCCGTAATGTTGAGCGGCAACTGGGGAGGTGGACGGGAAGATAAATACTAGAAAAATCCAAGACATCGGTTCCGGGGAACATCCGAAGGCACTAGGACTCGGGAAGAGCAAGGGCAGGCTAAGCTCTGATGTCTTTTGCCTTGCTTTTGCATGGCAATTGCCACTGATTCCTTAGAGGTTGTTCAGAGAGGTTACCTGGGAATGGGACAGCAGGGACAGATATTTTTCAGGCCCCCAGCACTCTCCTGCCCCCTCGCTCCCCCTGCCCGAGGGGAGTTCCCTGCATGGCTGGCTCTGAAGCTGGACGAATCCCGCGCTCCTTTTCTCCTTAGGCTGCTGCTGCGCCTCCAACTTCTCGGGGTCTGTATCCTTTTGGCTCCGCTTGCGGGATGGGACCGTGCCCTCAGCTCCCTCCCAAGGGCCCCTCCGATCCGCTTACGTTTCTCCTTTGTCCCTTCTCCTGCTTTCACCCCTACGGAAGAGCACCCACCTCGGCCAGCCCAGTTAGTTCAGAAAATGGAGCCAAGGAAACCGCCCCCTCCCCGTTGTGTCCATGTTCTTCCTGTGTAAGGTCTGGAAGCTGCATCCACCTCTCTGCTAAGGAGATGCACAGAACATGTCACTGTTTTCTCAACGTTCAAGTTTCATTACCTTGTTTTTCTTATTAATTCTATTCTATTTATTATTCCGCCAGGGCTGAGATGTGACAATGTGAGCCACCACATTGGGTCACATCAGCTAGAAAAAGTATGCAGCATTAAAGTGGGTTTCCCCCTCCCCTCCCTCTCTTTCTCTCTCTTCTTTCTCCCTTCCCCTCCTTGTTCTCCTTCTCCTTTGTCTTCCTTTCCTTCTCTGTCGCTCTCTTTTCTATTCAGTATCCATGTGGGCATTTGCTAGCCGCCCATAAATTAAATTTCTCTGCATTTTCCTCTCTCTTTCTCTTTCTATCTTTTTCTCTCTCTCTTTTTTACCTATTTTGCATGATGTTTGTGACTCTGAGAGCTGCATCTATCGATGGAACCGTGTCAGATCTTAAAGAGGCTTCGTTAGGGTTTCTATACCCGAAAACCACAAAAATTTCATTAGAGTTTCTCATCTTTTCCACACTTTCTCTCGCTCCAGGGGGACTGCCTCCCCCTGGACCGTTCTCACACGCAGACACCAACTAAATTCTGTCCCACTCCGGGGACCCCCTCTCCTCCCTTTTTTTTTATATTTTTACCTCTTTACTTTTCAAGTGGTGTCTCTCTGGCATTCGGAGATGGGATACTTCTCTCTTTGTTGAATTCTCTGGGTCCAACAAGGCAAAACCTTGAGAAGTTTCCATCTCCATCCCAACCTTCTCCTTGCTACCAGCCCAGCTGAGCTCGGCAGGTGGGACAGGGCCCCTCTCCGGACACGGTGGAGGCACCTGGCCCAGTGGAGGCACCTGGCCCATTTCAGGCCGTGGTGGTGGAGGCACTGGTGGTTTGGTTTTGATGTGGAAGAAGGTGATACGGGAGTCAGACTCCACTGGAAAAGGGGAGGAGCAGGTTTCCCGGGCTGTGGAGCGGGGAGCTGGGGGCTCCAGCGGCTGTGGAGGAGATTTTTCGACGCTCGCCATGCCAGCTCTTGCCAGTAAAGATGAGAAATTGCTAATAAATTTTTGTGTATTTATCTGTGCTGTGATGGGTCTAATCTTGATCAATGGAACCCTGTTGCTATGAAATATCGCTTTTATGTCTATATTCTATATATTGTTTGTGAAGTAAAAATTTATTTGAAGTTTAATTTTTTTGGTTTTTAGTTTTTGATTTTTTAGTTTATTTGTTTTTTTGTTTTGCTTTTAATGAAGGAAGAAAATAAATGATGACAGACCCCCATCTATATTTAAATTATCTTTTGCTCTTTTTTCTTTTTCTCCCTTCTTTTTCTTTTTCTTTCTTTCTTTTCCGTTTCGTTTTTTGTTTTCTTTTGGTTTTTTTTGTTACCTCTGTGCGTCTCGTCCACAGTTCGCCGCGTGGCCCCTCGCTTCTCCATCTTACCTGTCAGCCATGAAATCATGCCCGGCGGCAACGTCAACATCACCTGCGTGGCCGTGGGTTCGCCCATGCCATACGTCAAGTGGATGCAGGGAGCGGAGGACCTGACGCCGGAAGATGACATGCCTGTGGGCCGTAATGTCTTGGAGCTCACGGATGTCAAGGACTCAGCCAACTACACGTGTGTGGCCATGTCCAGTCTGGGAGTCATAGAAGCCGTTGCTCAGATCACGGTGAAATGTAAGGGAGTGTGAGCACGCCTGCGTGAGCGAGTGCGTGGGTTCCCCGACTGTGCATGTTTGTAGGAGCGTGCACACACACGCGTGTGAGCTGCCACATGGATGTGTGTATGTGCAAGGCACGCGTTGGGTGCACGGTTGTAACAGAGCGCCTGGGCATGCGTGCGAAGCAAACGTGGGCACGTGTCATGTTCATGCATGTGAGCATTTGTAGATCCGTGGTCGTGCCTGTCAGCCTTCCCCAGTGCACGAGTGGGAGCGTCGCTGCGTGACTGTGGGTACCTGTTTCTGCCTGTGTCTTTGTCTGTCTGCACGGGGTGAGCCTGTGGCTGTCTGATCTGCACGTGCGGAGTGTAGGGACGCAGTTCTGCATGCACAAAGGTGGTCGTGCCTGGGGGTGTGTGTGTGCATGGGAGAAGGAGCAGCGTGGCTGTATGGGCATGTGGGTGCCTGACTTGCATGTGAGTCCGTGTTGTTACATGCCTGCATGTACGTGCGTAGGTCTGTGAGCATGAGCAGGAAGACAGACTTGTGTTTCATGGGTGCCATGTGCTGGGATCTGTGCATGCGTCTTTGGGGATCCCACGCGCAAAGAAATCCACAGTGAAGGGGAAGTTGGTGGCTTGAGATCTTTCCTCGCTTTAGGACAGCTGAGCTGTTTGTTATGGAGAAAACTGGTTCAGACCCCTGCATGCTTGTTTCTGTCCTGGGATACGAGGCTGGCTGGGCAGTTTGCAAGGAGCCTTGGATGGCTTGAAGCCTGCATGCCATCCCGTTCCAAGGTTAGAGATTCAGCCAAGGCCCTGAGGATCTCTGGCATGTGTGCCCTTGCAGTAGAGCCTAGTTCCAGCATCTTAGTGGCTGTTCTTGCCTCGGCAAGAGAGGGAATAACCTCAGCTTCCAGCTAGCAATTCCCAAGAGGAGCACGGGTGCAATCTTCGATCTATTCTGTCCTCAGCAGGGGAGTATTAAAACCCAAGCAGGATGCCCCTGTGGTTGGGTGAGTGTAGAGCTCTGCGTAGGAGCTGGTGTCTGGTGTGAGTGCTGGCATTGCCCACGAGGGATCTGGGGGGAGATGGGGTGGGAAAGGATGCGGAGGGGTGGGGGAGAGGAGGAGAAATACTTTGGAGAAGGGGAGGGCTAAAGAAAAACAATCCTGTTGTATCAGTGCATCCGACTAAGGAAGGTCTGACAACAGGAGTGAGTAGGGACTCGTGAATCTTGACAGGACGCTCATCCTGAGCCGTGGCACAGGGAGTGGGCTCATGTGCTAGCAGAAGGATGCCTGGGGCTGGACTGAGGTGCTCTTTATTTTCCTGAGTGTTTTCTTCCTTCTCCTTTTTCCCTGTCTTATCCTATCAATTTAAAAAGCTGCTGTATGAGATACATCGCTTCTGCTTCCAGCTATCGTATCTCCTCAGATGGGGAATCTTACCCTGCTGGTACCTTCTGCCTTTTGTCATTTTATTTGTATTCTCTTCCTCCTTATGTTCCTGTGTGGAAGCATCTGCAGTCTTTCTCAGTCAGAAGGTGAAGGTAGACGTTAGAGCTTTAGAGGTGCTCAAGTCTAGAGAAGACGAGTTGTAAAAGGTCTAAAGTGTGTAGTGAGGAAAACATGTAAGGCTTGCTGATAAAGGTGTCCGACGTTTAGCCCGCAGTCTCCATCAAGCTCCAAAGGTGGTCTTCTGGAGGAGGGACAGGGGAGATGAGTATTAACCCACATTTATAGCTTAAGAGAAAGCACTGCAGGTAGTTGCAGTTTTCTGATTCTGGAGAGCACAGTCCGCGCCGTGCCGTTTCCTGCACGCTGAACACGGCGAGATTCAGCAGTGCCGGGGCCGTGCTGCCAGCGCTGGGTCAGAAGATCTGATTACGTGCTCGGAAGGAGCTCCTGCAAAACTGCTTTTCCTTAACTGCCGTGTGAGCCGGCGGATGTGCAGCTGAAGTCTGTGCTAATGATTCCAGATGTTTAGCTGAACGCTTTTCCTTTTGATGGAGCAGTTTAAGAAGGATAATAGAGTGTGTAACTAGGTTCATAATATTTCAGCAGCACTTTACTGAACTGCCGCGCTGTGATTGGTACTGTGCCTCTGGCTCCTGCAGCCCTAACTAGCCCAATTAGGCACCATTTCAGCATATGTGGGTTTTTTTTAAATGTCTCTTCTTCCTGATTCTCAGCACTTCCCAAGGCTCCTGGGACACCAGTGGTGACAGAGACGACAGCAACAAGTATCACCATCACCTGGGACTCTGGAAATCCAGATCCTGTGTCCTACTATGTCATTGAATACAAGTCTAAAAGCCAGGATGGACCATATCAGATCAAAGAGGACATCACCACCACACGCTACAGCATTGGGGGGCTCAGCCCCAACTCCGAGTACGAGATCTGGGTCTCTGCAGTCAACAGCATCGGGCAAGGGCCTCCCAGTGAGTCAGTGGTCACTCGCACTGGGGAACAAGCTCCTGCCAGTGCCCCCCGTAATGTGCAGGGACGAATGCTGAGCAGCACCACCATGATCATCCAGTGGGAGGAACCGGTGGAGCCCAACGGGCAGATCCGTGGTTATCGTGTGTATTATACCATGGAGCCTGATCAACCCGTCAGCAACTGGCAGAAGCACAACGTGGACGACAGCCTCCTGACCACGGTGGGCAGCCTTCTCGAGGACGAAACCTACACAGTCCGGGTCCTGGCCTTCACCTCCGTGGGAGATGGGCCTCTTTCCGACCCCATCCAGGTTAAGACACAGCAAGGAGGTGAGCACCTGTGTCACTAACTTTGGATGCACTGGGCTGCAGGAGGGAGAGGTGTTGGCTTATAGCAGCACTATCCAGCTGTTGCTGCCTTGTGACCAGAGAATTTTTTTTCTTTATTGGTTCAGTTTGGTTAAAATAGAGGTAATTTTCCATGAGGAAGCTCAGTCCAGTGGCTGGAGCCAGAGGGTCTGCTGCAGGATTTCTGATTTTTTCTCAGAAAGGTTGTTGCTTAAATGAGTGGAGCAAGCAATTATGCAAAGAGAATCCATATCTGCTGTGCCATGTTTCAAAGTCAGGTATTTTAGTGCTTCCAGTTTCTCAGTGTCTTTAATAGACGTAAGAACTCTCACTGGTGAAGCTTAATTCTAAGTTCTTAACGTACCCAGAAAGTACCTTCGCTGAAATGAGTGAGGAACGAGTCTTAGTTTGCCTTTTTCTAAAAGAGGCGCCAAGCAAAGCCCTCAGTGTCACAGCAGATGTGTTGAGCTGAGAACGAAAGGTGGTTTGTCAGAGGTTGTCACCCAGCATGGTGACATGGGTGCTCTGCTTCTGGCGTGGGGTGCTGGCGAGGAAACCCTGCGTCCTCAACGGGGCTGCTCATGGGCTTCCCACTTCCAGAATCTTTTAATACTGGCGTTAGTGGGAAGGGGTGTATCCTGCAGTGCCAAGAAAGAGGCATATGATCTGGTAGCCATCTCCAGAGGTTCTGGATGTGCTCGAGTCCTGCAGTGGGGTTCAACCCTCCGTTGCTTTAAAGGAAGGGCCTGCCCGCTCTGCAGCATGGCATTTTGCTGCCAATATGCTCTTCACACACAGGCTTTGAGGAAAACAGGGTAGGAATCTTCTAATTCACCAAGTTAACGTGGTTCCCCGTCTCTCATCTCGCCTCCTCTGCCCCGTTGGCTCCTTCTCCGTATCAGTTCCTGGGCAGCCGATGAACTTCCGAGCAGAAGCCAAGACGGAGACGAGCATCGTGTTGTCGTGGAGCCCTCCCCGCCAGGAGATCATAGTGAAGTATGAGCTGCTCTATAAGGAAGGAGACCACAGCCGGGAGGTGAGTCCAGAGAGGAGCAGCGCAAAGGGTTGGGGCCCCGAGGAGACCCCGACCCTCCATTCCCCGAGGTGGCTGCGAGAGGGAGTAGGGCAGGTGTCTGGGCAGGGCTCGCCTCTGCTCCTTTTTGTTTGGTTTTATTTTTTTCTTTCCCCCCTCGCCCATCTCAGGTGCTGGAGAACTTCGAGCCAACGACCTCCTTCACTGTGGAAGGCCTGAAGCCCAACACTGAGTATGTCTTCCGGCTGGCCGCCCGCTCGGCTCTGGGCCTGGGGGCCTTCACCCCGGAGGTCCGAGAGCGCACCTTGCAGTCTAGTAGGTGTCTCTCCTTTTCCCACCCTTCTCTGAGGGGAAGACAGTCAGGGAGCCAGAGATGGTGGGCACAGGGGTACGG